AAACCAAATACACCAAAATGCATTTATATAAAAATCTCCATTTGTACAATAAATAAATAAAACACCAAAGGTTCACATTTTTAAGATTTGTTTATCAACGTATCCAAAAACCCAAATATAGGTATTTCACAAGATTTCCCAACCCAATTTACCAAAAATGCAAACTTTGTCAAATACTCTACACATTTAGTAAACATAAAGTAAAACACTTTAATACTTCAAAATACTCATTTTGGCATTTACATAGTTTTCATAAAGCAACTTGAACTCACTTTGCTAGATTTAGGGTAAATCTAAGTTTACCCCCAATCTTGAGTTTCCAAAGCTGGAGACTTGACATTGGCTAGACTTCCAAATCTATGGTGCAAACCTTTTCAAAAACACTTCCTTTACTCCCAAAACATACACAAATAAACCTAAGAAAAGAAATGAGAGTTGTTGGTGCAAAAGGACCAACCCTAGATTCAAAATACAAAGATGTGATCTTACCTTCAATCTCTATGAACCCCAAAATCATCAAGTAAACTTTAATTATCTTTGTTACCATCTTAAATATCTTCCAAATATGAAACCGTAACATTAAGAATCGCTCAAATGGAGTAGAAATGAAGAAGTTATGGCTAGAATGAGAAAAACCTCGATTTCAGTCTTTTTGTGCCAGTCAGGCCTCGATGCTAGTTTCACCGCTTGGTTAAACTAGAGTGGAAACTAGCTTGAGAATTTTAGTATGTGGCGCTAGTTTCATCGATACTTTAAACTAGCACTAAAACTAGCCCTGAAAATAGCCCGAGCCTAAGAATTAGGCTTCTAGAGCCTGGCGCTAAATCTAAAGTGAGTTTAACTCACTCAACAACTAGCTTGGCACTTTATTGCGTTTTAAGATGATTTACGACCCCTCAAGTGATTCGAAGTTGCATCAGAGGTCTCTTAATGCCTCAGATGACCTCCAACACAACTTTTATTCATCCTAAATCTACCATGACTCTTGATTCAAAAGCCACGAACATTCAATAATAGTTGAACACTGAATGGCTTGCTAAAACAAATCTACACTCTTAAACGATTAACCATAAAAGCACAGGTGTTACAGATACGAAATGCTAGAAAACATGCTAAGAGCTTTTGTGATAGTTTTTAGGGGTTACCTCCCATTGGTAGTGTTTTCTTATAACAATAACTACCATTCAAGCATCAAAGCGGCACTTTTTAAGGCCTTGTATGGCCATAAGTATAGAACACCAGTATGTTAGGCTTACATCGATGAAAGACAGTTGTCTGGACAGAAATTGATCTAACAAACGTCTAACAAGATAGTACAAATCAGGGAGAGGTTGAAGGTAGTACCAGATAGACAAAAAAATCAGGAGTTAGTAGTGGGGATTAGAGTTGCTAGGGACACACAAAAACCCAATAAAACCACAAACCATAAACCCATCCAAACCAACCCGAAAATAAACCAATATAACCGAGTTTGAACAACTTGAAAATAGTCCAATATAACCTATCCCATAAATCTAATTGATTCATAAAATTGACAACCCCAAAAGTTAGGTTGGATTATTGAATGTCCACAACCAGTCTAACCAAGTCATCTAAACCAACACTCACAATGTTGCATCTCCATATTTTTTATACCTTTATTTTTTATCCACTCAACTTTTGGTTCCGTTCTTTTTAAAGCTCAATACATCTTTTATCATATTTCTCCCCCATCATTCAATTTAAAAAAGTTTGTATTCATACTCTCACATACTTTGTAGAGTGCATAACTCACCTGGACTAAACATTACTTTATTAATGAAACTTGGGAGCCTCAACATGTCTGCATGGAATTGTTCCTGGATCTTTGTATTAATTTTTTCCATAACCTCTAATACATGTTCCTTTTGTCGAGTATCAATATACTCTTGTTCATTTCATTTTGTCTTAAAATATGAGATGCACAACATTAGATAATGAAGCTTTATCTTAACTCTCTGTTGAATCCAACGAAAGTGAATAGTATAAATCAAAGTCCTCAACTAGTAGAATCATTCAAAAACTGTGTCCCACCTAACCCAAAGTGTAATAAGTTGGGTTGGGTTATAATTTATTTTTTGAATGGGTTGTGGAGTTTTAGGATGAACTAGTTAAGTTGGTTTATCAAATATATCTAACCTTCAAAACCCAACCTGTATGCACCTTTAAGAGATCCATGTTATTAGGTCTAAGGGATGTCCGAGCCTCTTAGGCCTTTCCAGGTGAGCAAAGAAAACCTCAATTCAGATCAAAAGGCATGTATATAAGTATTTGGCAAGAAGTCTACTATTGCTTTTGCATAAATGAGAGCGGATATGTGGATCTTTAAAAAGTTTTTGACTCAGCCTGATCCATTTCTAGACTTGTTACTGATATGAAAAATGGGACCCGGTTGGGCCTAAATGATCAAATCGACCCTATCAGTCTGATCTACGATCCATATTTGACCATCAATCATTTTTTGCATCTCTAGTAGGGACTCACATTCTAAATCATGTAGTACAAGTGATGAGTCATCGCAATACTTGTTAGACATTTGGCAAGAAGTCACCTAGTGGTCCAAAATGCACGTTGATACATAGAAGTGAAGATCCCATTTAGAGAGTATTGTTTTGTATGAAGATGTTTTACATGTTCTCCTGTTTACATTTTACTGAAATCGTATGTGGTTTGATTGCATAAAATCATGATATTATAGTATGCAAAATTGCAAATATCTAAACTGAAAAAAGATTGTAAAAGATTTCAAAGGTAAAGCAACAGTTTAAGAATTTGAACCAATAAAAGAAAATTCGATTTTATTATGTAGCTTATGATGTAAATTATGTGATCTTGTAATAGTTTATAAAATACTTTCACTACAATTACCAAATTTTGGGTAACAGTCATGACCAGATAAAAAGGGTGTGATGTTTTTGTTTGGTTACAATACTACTGAAGATAACAAGTTTGGTCTTTATGTTATAGAAACTAAACACAAGATACATGGTTCAACTCATATAGCTTTTGTTTATGCTTTTTACGTCCATCATCCCATTTTCCCACAAAAAAAAAATCATGATTTAACTGTTGTCATTATAAAAACTGTATTTATTGCTGAATATCAACGATGGATTGTCCAAAACCATTTGCTTTTAGCTAAAAAAAGATCAAGAGATACTGAGATAACAACATGACAAACAATATCCATATTGATAAATATGATTAATGTTTAAAAAAAGGTTTAAGAAACTCGACAATCAAGTGATTTGTAGTGTTTAATCTCCAACACGAGGGTTAAACAGATGCATAAATGACTTATTTAAACTAATAAATATAATTATTTTAAGATCATACGTATATTTGGGAATTAGAATTTTGACATAAAGTTTAGATTCGAGCATACACATAATTGATAGGTCCCAAGACATTTCTATCGAAAGTGACTTGGAACCTGTAAAGTTATCAAAATCAAATTCACAAACTACATTATTTTGATATATTATTTGTCTAAATGCTTATTTTATTCCCTCATACTTAAATGAAAACAAATTAAAAAAATTAAAAAACCAAATACACGAAGTATATTCCACATATCTGTTGTAGATAGTATTTTAGGGAGTGTTTGTGAATGCTTATTTGAAAGAACTTATGTTTTTCTACAAAAGTACTTATCAACTTATTATAAGTCAGAAAAGTTTAACTTCTTTAAAAACTTTTTATTACCGGTTTGACACCGATACAAGTTGTTTATCCAAACACCTTAAAAATGTTTATTACCGGTGCCACACTGTAATAAGTCAATAAGTTATTTTTATAAGCAATCCAAAATGGATATAAAGAGATGGTGTTTGAGTGTTTGGATTGCTTATAAAAGCTGTTTTTTTAACTTATTTTAGTTTGACACTGATGATAAGTTGTTTTTTGGTGTTTGGATAAGAAAAAAAAACTGCTTATACCGGTGCCAAACCGGTAATAATCTGTTTTTGATAAGTTAATTCTTCCTGCCTTATGAAAAACTATTTATTACCAATTTACAATTTTAATCTTGTTTTATTTAACTTCGATTTAATACTACATAAATTAATAAACACTTTTATTAAAAAAAACATAATTTGTTTTAAATACGCGATTGTTAAAAGTAATTTAGATAGTATTTGAGGATTATGATACATATTGGGGTGAAGCCATATTTGCAAAAAGTGGACTTGCTTTCAGCGTCATTTCGTCTAGATTCTCTCACCATCGGTTTCGATAAGAACCCTCTCTCCGACCCCCGAAATCTCAAATATCTCCTCTCATCTCCTCTCTCCTTTACGCGGCTTTTCATTCGACAGGTAATCAATCTTTCTTTCTTTATGCATATGATGATGATTGAAATATAAATCACATCTACATGCATATAATTATTGAATACGGATGCGTGATTTCTATGTTCTTCAATCAGATCGCTATACGGGTAAAAGGACGTTTCTTTAGCTTAGGTGCTGATTTTGACTAATCGTTAGTTGATTTCTCTTTGGTCAGGTTTGATCTAAGTATATGTTTCAACTTTCTTTGTTTTGGGATTCCTTTTGATTTTGCTTGTTCAGGGTTTAGCTAGTAGTTGCTGTGTTTACTCAATTAGTGTTTGCCTTTTAAATATTCCGTCACTGATTTGGTGCCCTAATTTTGACATACGATGCTATGTTTGTTGGGTTTTATATGGTTTCTTGAATTACTTAGTTTCTTTTAATTGTTACCTACCTTATTGTTTTGCCTTACCGTTAGGGTGACTTGCCTTTGGAAATATTCTGGTCTTATTCGTTGCTAATTTACCCTGTGTTTGCTCATCTTCTTCAATTATGAAAGCTCTATTTGGGGGACACAGTTTTCCTCTCTAGCAATCTGTGATGAGTGTACGAATTTTGAGATTGGTAGTGAAAATTTGTTTTCTTCCAGATTTATATTCTTATTTTGTTGCTAGCTTCATCAAAGCTACCATGTAATCATCAATATCACAGGATCTTGCTTGTGAATGTCCTTGTTTTCCTTCTTATGCTCAGAGACCTCTACTCTCATTGGTAGAGTGATCAGAGTGGAGACATCCCACTCCCACCGAGGGGATACTTCGTTCTTAGCACCAGTATAAGGCGTATAGACATTACTTTGTATTAGAGGAAGGAAATCTACAGGTAATTGTATGAGAGATTATTCAGCACATGCCTCAAATCTTGGCTGAAGTGCCCTTGGTTTTTAAGATAGTTTTCTTGTATTTCTTCTTTGAGGGTAAAGGTGATAGAATTGTTACACTACCTAAGCAATCAGGATTCTAGAATTGGGTATGGAGCTTGTTTTGGAGTCTAATATTGTGGACCCAAATTTGTAAGAAAATGGTTATGTGTGCAGTATATTTTCTGTATGAGTCTCTTCATTCTTTGTTATATACTACTGAAGTAAAAAAAATTAATGACCGTGGATGGGTCAAATTGGTAAACCTAGCAAATATTGTCTTCGATTTTTTTTTTGTTTCTTGCAATTTACTACTTTGTGTGCTTGTGAGTGCTAGGGAGATACCTTATGCATTCATCCCTCCAATGATATAAAATTACTTCATCTTACATTAAGGTAGAGAGACTATGAATTTGGCATATCAAAAGTCTGCATCCATGTATTCCTTGCAGCCTTTGTATCTTTCATGTATTCTTTATCTTGGAGATGATATGCTATTGTTTTACTCTTCAAGCATCTTTTTAGCTACTATTGTTTGTCATGTACCCCTCTCACCTGAACCTCAACAGTTGCACATTGCAAAAGGCACCATAACCTGGCCCTTCTATATTTTTAGTTGTTTATTCGCTTTATATGTGTGTGCTTGTGAATAAATTTTAGTTTCTTATTGTAGTGTACTATTATTAAATTGTTCAAAGTTAAGGGGGGAACGGAGGGGGGTTGCAGGATACTAATGTATTGTGAATGCGAATTAACTTTAATTTCTTATTGTACTGTAGGTATAATGATTAAATTGTTCAAAGTTAAGGAGAAACAGAGGGAACTTGCTGAAAATTCTAATGGGAAGCCTCCAGTTAAGAAGCAAAGTGCAGGCGAGTTGCGTCTTCACAAAGGTAAAGTTCATTCTTATTTAGCAAGTCAAGTGTGAGTAATAAGCTATTAGAACTTCAAAATCATGATTCACCGCCATATTCTTAGGAAACTAGCTTCTTGATGTAGTGTCATTAAGAGTTTTTGATATTAAGTTTTCTTCCTTGAAAATTTTACATTGTAAGACTGTTTTCTTAATGTTCCAGAGGACCTAAATCACTGTGTCATGGGAAAAGTATTTTTGCAGTTTCTTGTATTCATTCAAGTTACTACACCCACAGATTCATATACAAAGATAAAAATTATTATATTTTGCTTAGTTTCTTCATGTTGTTACTTGTAGATATAAGTGAACTAAACCTACCCAAGACATGTAGCATATCGTTCCCAAATGGGAAAGATGACCTCATGAACTTTGAAGTAACTATCCGGCCTGATGATGGATACTACTTGTAAGTATATCTTTTCAGTTTTATTTGTTATTAGCAAGCTCAGTTGTCACCATTTCCCTTCCTTGTTTATCTTTCTAGTTAAGTTTCATATTCACTGGGAAGTGGCGTTTGCTGACAGAACTAACCCACTTGTTAGTAATTATTGTTAGCTGAACTATGACTAATTTTCAGTTTTCATGCTTTTGGTCATTGTAGTTTAGCATTGTTGTAGCGATGATCTTGCCTCTGGTTCTGTTATGTAAGAATTGTACTTTCCACTCTGCTTTTTGGATACAAAATTTCTTATCTAGTTGATTCCAAAAATGATAAAGGTGATCCTTTGCCCCTCATGTCACCCCACCACTTTCATCCTTGATATTTGTAAAATGAAGTCTTATTTTACAAATCTGTTCCATACCCTCTAATGTTTACTTTTTTGTGCATATGTTTTTGAACGGAGGGAATTGTAACTATATGCATCAACGATCTTTGAAGAATACCGAAACACCATTTTTCTTGAGCTGTTGTTCTGGGCATCCATTTTACTTTATCACAATAGAGGTCACTGATGGCTTTCACCAATGGGGAAGGAAAATTAGAATCCTGAATTATCTTTGATTTTGGAATTTGACATAAATAAACACTCCCATCTTAAGAAAATTTATATAATCTGATTCTAATTTATAGGAGCTGGTTGCCACAGCATAGAACAGAAGTTTCATCTCATCTACCCTGGTTATTTTTGTTTGTTTTTCACATTATTAACATATCAAGATTTGACGAGCAGTTGTCTGCATCTTTGCTTATTGCTAGTACCAAAACAGCTTCTTGATGTTTATCATATTGCATCAGTTAGTGTATCTACCATATCATATGCATATATGTGTGTAAAATAACAATAATAACCATTTGAAGCGGCATATGTAACTTTACATATTGAGTTAAACTGAAAATCCATTATTAGGTTTAAGCATTAGTACTAGACAATGGCTTATGATCTTTAAAATAACATTTTATACTTATCCTTCTTGGTAAGGCGACAGTAGTTACTCAGGAGTTAGATGGATACAAATGAATAGGTATTATATATTTTACATTTATCTAACAAACTATCTGCTTCCAGAGGTGGCACATTTACGTTTACCTTCCAGATTTCGTCCATCTATCCGCATGAGGCACCAAAAGTCAAATGCAAAACAAAAGTGAGATACACTTGGTAACTGTTGGTGTTGTTGATCTTCTTGGCAATTCCTCATTCAACATATAATTATGCTATATGTAGGTTTACCATCCCAACATTGACTTGGATGGAAATGTGTGCCTTAACATTCTTCGTGAAGACTGGAAACCGGTCCTAAACATAAACACCATCATTTACGGCTTGTATCATCTATTCACGGTAAACTCCATCATCTATTAGCCTTTCTGGCACTAGAATAAAATCGACTTTGTAAGACACCAAAGATGTCTAAATGTCCTAATAGACGGCTATATAGGACTTAAATTTATAGGGCCAAATGATTTTATGTACAAATGATGCAACGATCATCTGAACAAGTTTTTTTAGGACACTTTTGAAATCAAGTGTCATATTAGCTTTTATATAAGATATTTTTGAGAATTCTTTTTAAAGGACAAAAACAAGAAACTTAACTAGAATGACTATTTATTTTTAAGTTGTTCTAAAAAAAATTCTTGGACGCCCTATCAACTTATTGCAACACTCTCATTTGGTCCTTATAAAGCAGTCTGTTAGGACAAATTTGACGTCCTATAAAGCCGATTTTGTTGTAGTGTGGTTGGATTTCTTTGTGAACTTGTGTTAGACCAACAAGAGGCTTATTGTGCAGGAGCCGAATCATGAGGATCCACTGAACCGAGAAGCAGCTGCAGTGTTGAGAGACAACCCAAAGATGTTCGAGTCAAACGTGAGAAGAGCAATGGCAGGTGGGTATGTTGGGCAGACATTCTTCACCAGGTGCATATAAACTGTTGCACAACCACAGCAGAAATAAGGTGGATGGTGGTGTTGTGGTTGCCAAAATGTGTGGATCCAAAACTCTGGGTCTTTTTGCAAATTGGGGAAGAGGGGGTTGAGTTGTTTATTGCAAAATGATCTGTTTGTATGCTCTTATGTGTCTGTCACTGTGTCTTTCTGATGGCATTATTTAGGGTCACTTGTTATGTAAAACTCTTGTGTTTCTGGGAAGATAAAGAATCTGCTGTTTTTATTCATTGGATCAAGATTGCAAAAACCGTTGACAAAAGCATGCTTTTTATTCCGTTCAGTTGCGTCTGAATACTTGTTGCCGTTCTAGTTAGAGTATTTTGATGCTATCATGTCTTGTATAAATCTTTATCTGGTTTATGTTTGGTTACGGTCAAAGTGTTGATATGAAACCGTTAAGCATCTGTTGTGTTAAACGTTGCTCGTCTTTTTATTGTACATGTTAGGGCGATCGTAATCTAATTTACGGGTCAATTTCAGATTTTGTAATTGTTATTACACATCGACTAAGCTGTATGACATAAAAGAATGGTAATCCATCCGTCCGTCCTAAAATGAATGTTCGTGATGACAGAGATTTAGAAATATGTAATTATTATACTTTTTAATTAACTAATAAATGTTTTTTAAAGCAGACATTTATTTTGAAACAAGTTAAAATAGAAATATAGACATTTATTTTGGGGCAGAGGGAGTAATATAACATTGATTTCCTCTTTCTGATCGAGTAAAGGATACATGGAATCATGAGTATGAAAGGAAAAAGTAGATGAAATATTAAGGATATTGGTGGTAATAAGTGCGTTTATCACATGTATTGTTTTATAAACACATGATTACTAGTTCTCGGGTGCTTTAACTTTTTTATGATTTTCATTTGATTATTCCTATATATATTGAAAATCAAAGGAAAACTGCATATATTCACATGTGTATGTGTATAACTATATGTGTGTGTTTCATATATGAACATATTTCTATGTATTTTTCACACGTAAAATATTCCTAAACGTTTTCATGTATGGGGCAACAATGTATGAACACGACACATTTTACAAGTGTTGTTTCGAGTTCTTTGTGTTCATCGAGTACTTCGTTGCTCTTCATTTTTGTTACCTCCTGATTTTGTTGTTATTCTTTAATCTGTAGTTCAAATTATGTGTATCCTATATTGCTGGAGGATTTCGAGAAAAGGGAGAAACCAGTGAGTATAGAACTTGGATAAAAACAGAGATTGCATGAGAGCTCGTTTTCATTATGTTGTATTTCGACCCAAATTTGCCAGGTTATTATAGAATTAACTTGAGGATAATATCATTTTTTTATTAATGATTTTGGCAGAAATCATTCATTTTAAACTTAGAGAATTGTTCTATAGAATAACTCTTGATTAAATAGAAATGATTGATGGAGTAATTAGTGCGCGGTTAACTGCATGACAATTATAAGCACAACCTTTACGAACTATTTACATGGATCATAAGAGATTACAAAGTTAGAAGCTCCTCATAGTCCAAAGCCTCTAAGTTAGAAACCCTTCAGGCTTTTGGACTCTGAGGAGCTTCTAACTTTGTAATCTCTTATGACCCGTGTAAATAGGCTGCCTTTAGGACCTTGCAAGAGGCGCAACCCCCTTGACCCTTGTCATATGGTGTCCTCCAGCAATCCGAGGTTATATTAGCTTTACACGAGCGTGCTATATGAATCTTAATTATATATAAATGATGGAAATGTTATAACCAATCTCAACCGTTCATCTAGTCTAATGAATATTTGCTTTCATAAATATATCCATTGTTTCATAATATAAAACATTCGTCATAATTAATGAACTCTAATCATCTCTCATATAAATATTCATATCATAATAAATGAACCTTAATCATTATTATAATTATTGGTTTGCATTTGATTTGCCATTATATATATATATATATATATATATATATAGAGAGAGAGAGAGAGAGAGAGAGAGAGGGAGGTGAATTATTATACAACCATTTATATTTATACAATCAATACAATCAATCTCAACTGTCCATTTAATTTGATGAATATGTGATTTCATAGAAGTTTTGATTATTTCTTAATATAAAGTATTGATCATAATTAATGAATCATATTCATCTTTCATAAATATTCAAATCATAATAAATGAACTCTCATTATTTCCATAAATATATCAATTTATTGGGTTGCATTGGTTGTACAAATACGATAGGTTGCATTTGAAACGAAATATATATATATATATATATATATATATGAGCGATCAAATAAAAACCGCATCCATTTGTGTAAACTGTGTAAACCAATCTCACTCATCCATTTTCTTAATCAATGGTTAAGATTAATCAAGGTTATTTAAAGAAATTAAAAAAAATTGAAAATACATTTTATAATACCGATAAGGGCAAAAGGGTAAAACCAAATATTATTAATGAAAATAATTTATTTTTTGTAAATTAATTTATTATTTTTACGTTAACATTTTTACGTTGACATTTATTATTATTAATGAAACTAATTTATTTTTCATCTTGCAATTATTTCATGAACCGCCTACATTATGCACCCGTTTCATTTTTCATTTCATCTACTGAATGGATCACCTACACCATCACTGAAACGAGTTTCACCATGAAAGCAGTTCACCACTCATTGTTCAATTACGCCATGAACCAGTTTCACCTTCATGAAACCTGTTTTATGTAAATTAATTTTTTATTTCACTCATGAT